TAGCCGAGCCTATTTTAATTGCATTTTTGCATGTGTTGCATTAGCCATCTTAACATGAACTAGGATCATGCATGATTTCTAACTAGTTCTTTATTTTGGCTCGGAGTACACTGTGAGTGTTTACGCTTTAGCATACTGCATGTGTGTTAATGTTGCCATGTTAGCATGTTTTCCATGAGGCTAATTGCTTATGTGATTAACTGCCTGATTGTCTGTGGGTGAAGGTTGGATTACTTGAATTGGAACAATTCATTGAAATCCGCATTTTAGCCTACTTACGAGTAGCAAACTTCAAACCATTTTCCAAACAAACGAATATACGATGCTTTGTTCCAAATTAGGCGATCTAGTCTATACTTGTTTGCTGTGCGCATCACATAGTAAGACTAGCTAATCAATCAGAATAAGAACACATGTGTTTTAAAGAACAAGATATCATGCCTAGTACAGGCCGATCTTTGATCGGGCGAGCGGGATGCTTATTAAATGACCTTCCCCAATCGTACCCAAGTTCCTAAGCCAAGGCAACTTTGGTGATGACGGACACGTGGCCTTAGGCACGAGTCAGGGTTTCCTAAATTCCCCCAAAATAAATATTTAGGTGGCGACTCTGTATCTGGCAAAGCAGTCCATGTTTGGTACTTCTTTATTAAAAATCAATTTTCCAAAACGATTTTTTGGATTTGGACTCTTTGGTGATTTATCGGTCTCACATCGCACATTGTGAGATTAGATTCAGAACCGTGACATTTGAGTTCGAATTGTAGTAAGCCCAAATGAACGAAACGGGATCTTCCCGGGACATTTGGGGCGTGTCCACACTTATATGCAAGCAGATTCAGAGCAGTATGTCAAGAAGTGCGAGAAATGTCAGAAGTTCGCACACCAAATACATCAACCAGCCAAAGAGCTTCTACCATTAACTAGCCCATGGCCCTTTGTAATGTGGGGTTTGGACATAGTAGGACCACTTCCAACGGCACCCGGCAATAGAAAGTGGGCCTAGTGGTTAGTCAAGGTATTGGTGAGAAAGGATGTCGGGCTTGGTATAGCTCGGCCGGTCTTGGTATAGCACGGCCAGGCGCCATCTACATCATTACCTAAGTGTGTGACCGAGGTAACTTAGCTCGGTGTGGTTGCAATAGCTTATATAAAGGAGGTAACCATCTTACTTGGTTGGCAGTGAGTAGAAGTGTGACTCCTAGGAGGACTCTGCTAAGGAGAGTAGAGTCCTACTAGGGTTGTGCAAAACCATTTCACTTGGTTGGTAGTGAATAGGGTGTGTGATTCCTAGGAGGACTCTCATAAGGAGAGTTGAAATTCTACTAGGATTGTGCTAAGCAGAATCTATAAAAGCTCATGACCAGACCTATGAAGAGGTATCCCAATTCTTACTCTTGAATACACAGAGCTTATTATCTATTGTCTATTTGCTGACTTAGGCATCGGAGGGATTTCCGGCACACACTCGTCGGTTAGCTCACGTTTGTGTTTTCAGGTGGCAAAGCAATGTTGTTTGGAGGAGTGCAAACTTGATCAATAAGATCATACGAGAAGAATTATTTCGTACTCGTACAGGTAGTAACTGCTGTTCTGTCTTCTTGCTTCTTATCCACACTTTTGTCACGCCTTTTCTCTTTGTTCTTGAGCTTTCAGCATTCCCGCTTCATGTGCCCTTTCTCATGGCAATAGTAACACTCAATGTCTTTCTTTGAGAAAGAACCACCTTTTGATTTGTCACGGCTTTGATCACGACCATGAGAAGTCTTACTCCTCCCCCATTGTTTTGCTTCGGCCTCTCACAACAAATGCTTCTGAATGAGAGGAACCTACTGATTTTCTTCTAGTTTCTTCATTCAACAAGCTACTAGTGGCTTGGCCCATTGTGACAACTCCATCGAGCGCCGAATTACTAACTGTCACAACCAAAGTCTCCCAACGTTCGGGTAAGGAACTAAGTAGCATCAAAGCCTGCAACTCATCATCAAAAATAATTTTCATAGAAGCAAGTTGGTTAACAATACTCTTTATTTCATTTAGATCTTCCGGTATAGGGCTGCTATCTTTATATTTTAAATTAACCAACTTATGAAACATAAAAGCTTTATTTGTGGCTGATTTCCTATCATAAAGGCCTTCTAATTTTTTTCCATAAATCATGTGCTGAAGTTTCAGTAGCAACATAATGAAACACACTGTCATCAATCCATTGACGGATAACACCAACGGCTTTTCGGTTAAGCCTCTTCCATTCATCATCTTTCATATCATCCGGTTTGCCACTATCACCCTCAATAGGCCCATACAAATCTTTACAAAATAATAGGTCCTCCATTTTAGTTTTCCAAGTTACCCAATTACTTCCATTGAAGCTAGACATACGACCCACATTCCCCTCCATTGATTTACACAAATAATTAAACCCAAATAAACCATAAGCTCTGATACCAGTTGTTAGGGAAAATATGTGATTCCCCATAAGTAAATCAATCAATGGGAATAAAAACTAATGCAGAAAAATTAAATCAAAAGCAACACAAGAATTTTTACGTAGTTCCCTTAATGTGAGGTACATTCACGGGATCGAAATCTGATTCCACTATCAACCAAAGAGTTTCCAAACGATTACAAACGAGACATGAATGGTCTTACAAAATCACCGTTAGGTGAATTCCAAATAATCACAAATAAAAAAGAGGAAAGACCTCACCAAATAGATGAACCAAAATCTTCAGAACTAGAGTTGTAGAAGATCCAAAATAACGAACCAAATCAACTTCAAAATAAAGCCAATAAACCAAGCAAACCAGCAACCTGAGATTTTTCCCAAGCACAACCTCACCAAAAAAACCAACTAGCTGCTGCCGTTTTTCTTCACTCCCACGGGGCAAAAACATAAACAATATATATATATATATATTGTTAATCTAGGGTTTTGTAATCAAAACCTAATTGTTTCCAAATTGGATTGGGTCTCCTCAAATATAATATATAAAAATATATTATAAATATTATAACTAATACCAAGTCAAATTAAACTCTTTTAATAAACCAATTGGGTCCCATACTCCAATAAGGAGATATATCCCCACACTAAGGTGTATACAATGCTAGATATTCTGGTTCAAACCAGCGAAATTCACCATTACAGTGGCCCAGAGAAATTCTCTCCAAATTTCTCTGGACATCCCACTCTCTAGAGAAATTCTCTCCAAATTTCTCTGGACTTCCCACTTTCCAAATTTGATACAAATTGGTTAATTAAATAATCTCTTCTCACCAGATTTGACTTCATCCACATGGCCACTCTTACCTTGATGAGGTCACAAAGTTCTTCAAGATTGGGCTGGACCTCACTAAAAATAACTTCATTTTTGTGTTTCTACATAGACCAAAAAGTTGTTGTTGGTATAGCTTTCCATTTTTGCAGTTTCCCTTTTTTAAACTTCCATCCACTCCACCAATGAAGCAAGCATTCCACTGTACCTGGTACAACCTATTGCACTCCTCACCATTTGATGATGCTAGACCAGAGTTTCCAAACAAATGAGCAATGTAACATTATGTGATTTAAAGATTCATCCTCTGTTCTGCAAAGGGCACAAACTGATGACCATTAAATCAACAACATAGCGACACTCGTCAATTGACCATTAAATCAACAAAAGTATTCAAAATTTATTTGAACCAGTTACCAAAAAAACCAAGTAGAACATTCTAATTGTTGAAACAAACACACACGAAAAAAAGATATGAAATAGGTAGGAGGAAGAATAAGAAAAAGAATAAAAAAACCTCCTGAAGGAAATCGTGGTTGAGCTTATCGGCGATTCGGGAGGTAGTGAAGACAGTGATGAAGATGAGAGAGAGAGAGAGAAAGAGAGAGAGACAGAGAGAGAGAGAGAGAGAGAGAGAGAGAGAGAGGACGAATGCAAAAATATAGGTGCCAGTGCCAGGACCTGCTCGGGTCACCACAGACAAGCCTCCGGTCGTCTTTCGAAGCGATATGGGTATGGAAGGAGAGTTGAGTACAAGTTGTTGGAGAGGGGTTGATGTTGATTTGGGGGTTTGAAAATGGAGAGTGGGAGTAGTGGTTGCTGAGTAGTTGCAGAGGATGATGCCCATGCTCGCCATGGATGACCAATCTTCACCTTTTATGGCTCCCTCACTGTATTCTTCTTGTTGAGAGAAATACCGGTCTATCTTTGTCAGAGATTAAGTGCCATGGTTGTGAGAGTCAAATTTCTTTGTGATATAAAGGTGTGGGGTTGAGGGACTTTACACATCAGAAAATATTATTATGGATCTCTTCCATTATTAAAAATGGGAGAAGGACCTTAGACTAATTTTCCCTAAATTATTTGCCTATTTTTGTTGATTTAAACTCTCGAAAAAAATATATTTTAATCATTAAACTCAATAAAAATAGATATTTTAGATAATTTTTTGCGAAACTACATTAAGTTTAATGGCAAAAATACTATTTTTCTATAAAATTTACTTAAAAGGAAATTTTACAAAATTCAAACTCTGATTTTTTATTTATTTTTTCCTTTTGCAATTTCACCCAAAAAAAAATTGCCAGTAAATACATGCTCTGCCTTACCCAAATGCAACTTTATTGAAAACTTGTAAAGAATCCTTGATGAATGACCTTGAAGACATATACATTTGATTCAATAAATAAAGAAAAATGCTAGAGGCTCCAAATGTTTTACCAAATATTCTACCAAATGTCTCACATAGGTATGGGACCCACATGGTGTGGGTCCTACACCCATGTGAGACAATTGGTAAAATATTTAGTAAAACATTTGGGACCTCTAGCATTGCGCATAAATAAATACGTACGACTAGTTTTTCATGAGAAAGGGAAATTACTATGACTATACTATCTCTCAAGACATTAATTTGCCAGGCTAGAAGTAGAAAGGGAAGATAATAGAAAAAGGTTTCCGTTTCTCCCTCAGTAGCTTCTTCCACCACATTTCTCATCGATGTTATTTCTTGATGTTGTGTTTGCTCATCCAAACACCATTCTGATCACACGAGAAGGAATTAAGGCCGGGACATTCTACTTTTTCCAAGTAAATCAAATTGGAAAATAACATCATAATGTCTTTCCAAGGCATTTCTAAGTTACTCAAGTACTTTAATTGTAAAATTTCTACCGTGGTAGCTACTATTTCGTCAAGGTTACACAATAGTCCTCCTCTGATATAAAGTTTCTTCAAGTTCTTCAAATTGTCGGTCCACAACCAACTGGGTGTAGTTATCTCAGGGAAACACTCAAGCTCTAGTTTTTGCAACGATGAAGGAAGTTCCAATTGGTGAGGAAGTTCTGGATCATGCTGCTTAGTGAATGATCTTGTGAGTGTTGTCCGCTTGGCAAATAGTTGTGTTTGCTTAGGTGAATCATCAATTTTACTTTGCAAAATGCATCTAGACCAAGATATTTTCAACTTCTGTAGGGATTTTAATCCTTGTAAATGACAAAGTTGTAGATCTGTTGGAAATTTTTTCATAGTCATAGATATGCTCAATTTTCGCAACTTTGGCAATTTTGTCAAATCATTAATAGTACATGACTTTTTGTCTTTGGAATCTCCAATAATAAATCCCTTAAGGACTTGGAGTTTAAATAGTGCACTAAGCCCCTTGGGCATGTAATCTAAAAGGTAACACTCAGATATGTCCAAGTGTGTCAAACTCTTAAGCAAGCCAATCCAATCTGGAACCACCTCAAGATTGCGACACGTTTTGAGATCAAGAATCTCAAGATTAGTCAGTTGTGAAATGAACTGCGGAAGCTCTGTAATCAAAGAAATTCCTGAAGGCTGAGAAACCTCAATTGTTTCATATTCTTATGTGCATTGAGAATTTTGATGCCTGCGACTTCAATGTGATGTGTGACTGAGTTCTGCCACCTTCCCAAGTAAACAACATTGAAATGGGCGAACTTTGAAAATCGTTCAAACTTGCTATCAACAATAGCCTCAGCAAAGTTGAGGAAGCATTGACTATAATAGTGATCATATGGATTATCAATTTGAGTATCTGAATCCAGAGTACACACTGATATAAAGCAAAACTTGTTTACAGTAGAATGTATGTTGGAGTGCATCCTATAGCTATCGATGAGCAAGCCACAATTTTTATAGATAGGCTCGATGAAGCCCCTTTCAGTAAGGTCATCCAAGAACTCATAGCCAAAATCCTCTGCCGTCTTCTCCAACGCAATTTGTTTTTTTGTTTTTTGATCCATTACAATTGGGGATGCAATTCTAGCTCCAATCCACCAGTGAATCATAAGTCTTTTCTTTATAGTAACCATTGCTGGGAACATCAAGAAAAAAGTCAACCAATCTTTTAGTTTCGAGGGGAGGCTACGGAGAGACACCTGGCTTTGAGGTGGTGGTTGTTAAGTGGATTTGGTTGGGAGATACTATTGCCCATGGCTTTGAAAGGAACTACAACCAGAACATGGTCGTGTTGGAGTCTAGGCTAGAGTGTATATATATATAGAGTGTGTAGAGAGAGAGAGAGAGAGATAGAGTGAAAACGTTTTTTCTTGATGGTCTGGTCTGGGTTTCAAATGGATCATGAGAGAGGAAGACACGAAAATAAATAGATTTATTTTTATTTTTTAAATTTTGACCCATTCCAGACTTTTGCACATACTTGCACATTTTTGAGCCTGCCAAATTGGACCAGAAAGAAGAGTTCAGTAAGCCATCCTTTTTCTAAGATCTTAGCTGAAAATATTCAAGACTATACCTAACAAAAATAAAATAAAATAAAATAATCAAATCCGATGCCCTTTTAAAATAAATTTCCCAAACTCATACAATTTTAAACTCATATCACTTTGTGATGTAACTGATCCGATTTAATGAGACTTAAGATTTGATTTGATATCGCTTTGTGATATGTTGTTTATGACTTTTACTTTGAAATCATATTGAGAGCATAGTTTCAACATTCACAGAGAGGGTTGTTGTGTT